TATTTGGCCATTTCACTGGATTTGGGTAAATTACTTCTACGTTTTCTATTTTTAACTATTCTACTTTTATTAACCTGTCTTTTCTTTCTTTAACACAAACCTACCCAGATCCGCCATTTTGAAACTTCATTATCATCTCTCAATTCGGTAATGCGCCTCATCTATGAATTGTGCAATTGTATGGGGCCCAAATATGTGGGTTTCACCCAATTTTGGGTTGATCGTGAATGCCAAAATCCGGGGGCATCATCATTATATGCACGATCATTGATCGTGCATCGATCCAGGTCCCGATCATCATTTGAGTCACGTTTTGTGTGGTCACGATTTATACTGCCCGTGACAATAGCTTGTGTTAAGCATAGTCAAAGTGTTGTAAGACGTTACGTATAATTGCGATAAGATAAGTTTCACTAGTGCCCAGATATTTTGCAACTTTTCTATCTTGTTCAAATATAAATTCTCTTTGCTCTTCTTGTACTGCTGCCCTTTTAGTTTCTGACTTATTGAAGAAATTTTTATAAATAATAAGATTAGGCATTTTACGCATATTGATTTGTTGCTTGTAGATACATGTAGTTGTTTGTTTTGTTGGTTGATTGTCTACTAATTCTGGTTTGTTTGTTTGTTCGCCTAAAGTAGGCGTGTTTGTTTGTTTTGTTCAGATGTGATCTGCAATACAGGGATAATGGCAAATCCCCAAAATTTCTCAAAAATTTTTAAATTTTTGTCGAAAGTGTCTTATTTTCTTAGTATTGCACTTTAGAGAGTGTAGTGAGTAAAGTTGTTCTAAGAAACTTAAGTTCTTTTCTTGTATTCTATTCTTTTGCTTAAAGCAAGTTCTATTGTTGTCTTAATAAAATTGTGTCTAAGCCCTGGTTGTTTTTTAGCTCCAAATTTGGTTTTGGTAATCAACGGAGAGAGTTGAGGTCATTCGTATTACTTTAGTTTGCTTCTTTAACAATTTCAATTATGCATTTCTCAAAAACTTACTCTTACCAAATCATTTATTAGATCGTTAGATATTTTGAATCAGGTTTATTTGTTTCATTCAGTTGCTAATACTATATAATAGGCTTGTTGAGAAGTCTTTGGGTATTGTGAATCAGAACCTTCTATCGAATTCAACCAAGTGTTTTCAAAATTTAAGGCCAATGATGATATTCAATTTCTTGTATGAATTGTATTTGCTGAGGCCGTTGGAGTATTCTGTAGACTGGGTTACTGTTATAGATTGAATTCAATTTAATATATTAATTCAGATCATTCGTATTACTTTAGTTTGCTTCTTTACAATTTCAATTGTACATTTTCTTAAAAATTTACTCTTACTAAATCATTTACTAGATCGTTAGATATTTTGAATCAGGTTTATTTGCTTCATTCAGTTGCTAATTCTATATAATAAGCTTGTTGAGAAGTCTTAGGGTATTGTGAATTAGAACCTTCTGTCGAATTCAACTAAGCGTTTTCAAAAATTCAAGGCCAATGATGATATTTAATTTCTTGTATGAATTGTATTTACTGAGGCCATTGGAGTATTCTGTAGACTAGATTACTGTTATAGATCGAATTCAATTTAATATATTTATTCAGGTCATTCGTATTACTTTAGTTTGCTTCTTTACAATTTCAATTATGCATTTTCTTGAAAACTTACTCTTACCAAATCATTTATTAGATCGTTAGATATTTTGAATCAGGTTTATTTGCTTCATTTAGTTGCTAATACTATATAATAGGCTTGTTGAGAAGTCTTTGGGTATTGTGAATCAGAACCTTCTGTCGAATTCAACTAAGCGTTTTCAAAAATTCAAGACCAATGATAATATTCAATTTCTTGTATAAATTGTATTTGCTGAGGCCATTAAAGTATTCTATAAGCTGGGTTACTGTTATAGATCGAATTCAATTTAATATATTAATTCAGATTATTCATATTACTTTAGTTTGCTTCTTTAACAATTTCAATTATATATTTCTTGAAAACTTACTCTTACCAAATCATTTATTAGATCGTTAGATATTTTGAATCAGGTTTATTTGCTTCATTCGGTTGCTAATACTATATAATAGGCTTGTTGAGAAGTCTTTGGGTATTGTGAATCAGAACCTTCTGTCGAATTCAACTAAGCATTTTCAAAAATTCAAGGCCAATAATAATATTCAATTTCTTGTATGAATTGTATTTGCTGAGTATTCTATAAGCTGGGTTGCTGTTATAGATCAAATTTAATTTAATATATTAATTCAGATTATTCGTATTACTTTAGTTTGCTTTTTTAACAATTTCAATTATACATTTCTCGAAAACTTACTCTTACCAAATCATTTATTAGATCGTTAGATATTTTGAATCAGGTTTATTTGTTTCATTTGGTTGCTAATACTATATAATAGGCTTGTTGAAAAGTCTTTGGGTATTGTAAATCAGAACCTTCTATCAAATTCAACCAAGCGTTTTCAAATTTTAAGGCTAATAATAAAATTTAATTTCTTGTATGTGGAGTATTCTATAGACTGGGTTACTGTTATAGATCGAATTCAATTTAATATATTTATTCAGCTCATTCATATTACTTTAGTTTGCTTCTTTAACAATTTCAATAATGCATTTCTCGAAAACTTACTCTTACCAAATCATTTATTAAATCGTTAGATATTTTGAATCAGGTTTATTTGCTTCATTTGATTGCTAATACTATATAATAGGCTTGTTGAGAAGTCTTTGGGTATTGTGAATCAGAACCTTCTATCGAATTCAACTAAGCATTTTCAAAAATTCAAGGCCAATAATGATATTCAATTTCTTGTATGAATTGTATTTACTGAGGCTATTGGAGTATTCTGTAGACTAGGTTACTGTTATAGATTGAATTCAATTTAATATATTTATTCAGGTTATTCGTATTACTTTAGTTTGCTTCTTTACAATTTCAATTATGCATTTTCTTGAAAACTTACTCTTATCAAATCATTCACTAAATCATTAGATATTTTGAATCAGGTTTATTTGCTTAATTGGTCACTATTAATATTTTTGTAAATCAAGTTATAAATAATATTATGCGAATAAATTAATTAAGGGTTAGCAATATAATATTAATAGCTTTAATTTTTTTTACTTTATTTTTGTAATAAAGATTCTAATTCTCAAGATTTAAATATTAATTTTAATAGATTAATTGAGTTAACTGAGTATTTGGATAATTTTTAGTATATAATAATTATTTTATTAATAAGAAAATTGTTTTAATAAAATATAAAAAAATTAATATTTAATAAAGTAGTTAGGCTAGCTATTATTTATTTTTTGCCATTCTTTCAAGCACATGCATGCTCTAATTGTTGTAGGATTTAAATTACTTCTTTTAGAAGTAATTAATTCTTTAGCAGCTGAAAATACTCTTTTTGCAGAAACACTTGTAGCTAAATATTAAAATTAAATTTTAAAACAATTAATTTTATAAGTTAATACTAATAAAATATTAAATATTATATCTTGAACTGATAAATAATCTTTTGCCATTTTAAATAAATATTTAAATTCACATTCATGATTCTATAATTTAAATATTATTTTAAAAAATATTTATATTATTTATAAAATAGATTTTAAAAATTATTATTTATCTTCTACTATAATAATATATTATCAAATATATGGATTTATAGTTGCATCTCTTAAATATATTTTCAATTCATCTTCGTACATAGTTTTTCGTTTTTTAAAAATACTTGGTACATTTTTGTTTGAAATATTTTCAGTACCAGGAATTTGAGTTGGTTGATATTCAGATTTCTATAATTCTTGAATTTGATTTTTGTAAATTTCAATATATGTTTTTTCAAATCTATTTTCTCCATAATAATCTAATCTAAGTCTTGGATCTAAAACTAAAAATATAATATTAATAAATAAAATTATAAATTTTTAACAAAAAATAAATATATATAATATATATTTATTCCAATAATATATACTAAACCATTAGCATCTAAATAATATTTTTTCAATTTAGTTTGAGCTTTTTTAATTGCTTCTTCAATAATTAAATTAGAACAATCTATAAGAGAACTTTCTAATGCATCAAGTAAATCATAATAATATGGAACAACTAATCCAATAGTTGAATATTTGCAACCACTAATATTAATAGTTGCTTTTTCAAAATCCTAAATTATTAAATAAAATTAATAAAATATAAAATTTATATATAAAAATTTTACAATATATATTTTAAATACGTGTAATAAATTTTGAATCATTGTAATTTGATTCCACTCTTTATAAAATAAAGAATATTTTTCAATTTCTTTATCAAGTTTTGTCATTATATCAATTGGCTAATAAAAAAATAATTTATTAATAATAAATTTTAATAAATTTAAAAATTTTACTTACTTCTCTTAATTCAAGTGCTCCTTTTAACATATAATATATCAAATTTCATCTTGTTTTTATATCAAGAATTAATTCAAGTTTTTTAGAATTATATTAGAAAAATTTTTCTCTCTGTTGTGGCGATGAATAAATTATCATAATAATTTTTTTAAGCTTTTATATTAATATTATAAAATAAATATAATTTTATATAATAATTTACAAATATTAAATTTATTTACTTACTTTTTTTACTGTAGATATAATATTTTCATCTAATAAAATTTCATTTTCATTAGGTCCTTCAGCTTTAAGATTTTTTAAAAGATCCTAAGCTGCTAAATTAATTATATGCGCCAAGCATCATACTCTTTGATTATCTGTATTAAAATTAATTTCATTATAAGCATAACGATTAGCAAAATATCTAAACATTGTATTATTATTAGATGCGTTATCAGTAGTAATTTCTAAAATCTATATTAAAAAATAATAATTTATTAATAATTAAATATATATAATATAAATAAAATATATTTTAAAAAACCTTATTTAAAATTCCAAAATTATTTAATATTTCATATAATTTGTTGGCAATATTTTCTCCTGAATATACACCTGTTATTTGAACAAAATCAAGAGTCGTTTGTTGCATATTCCAATTATCATCAACCCAATGAGCAATAACTCATAAAAATGATTCAACTTTAGGCAATGTCCAAATATCAAGAATAATAGAAATTTTGCTAGATAAATTCCAAAAATAAAAATAAATAATTATTATTATTAAATTTTAAATTTTAAATTTATAATGAATATACCTGTAATTTATTAATGATTTCGGTTTGCTCAGATTCATATTTTGACATAATTTTACTTTTGACTGTATTTCCGGATACAAGTTTTGCTTCATTACTTAAATATTCAATAATTCTTTTAAAACTAGGCTTTTCAACAACTCTAAATGATTGATCATCATCAACTATCCAATTAGTTTTTTTTTTTTTTTTTTAATATTGAGGTGACCACTTAGGCCCCTAGCACTTTATTAGTTCAAACGGGTGGGCCGTCCAAAGACTGGCTTACATATTACATCAGTATAACGAGAGTACAACTA